TCTCTCTCTCTCTCTCTCTCTATATATATATATATATATATATATATATATATTTGATTAATCTGGATATCTAACCCGCTATGCGAACCGACTAATCACAGGGCGACCACCTGTTTTGCAGGTAGCCCAGAGTCACCACATTTGAACCTCCGTGGTCACAAGGGGATTTTTATTCCTCGTTGGATTTGAACCTGGGACCTCCAGACACTTTTGACCTTTGGAGCCCAAACTCAAGCTAATCAGACACCACCATTGTGGTTGGTTTTCTTTATATTTTGTTTTAAACCCTAACCAAACGTATACTTATTTATCGTATTTCTATCCTCTGTAGGCCTTTTTATGATTATGTATATAAAAAAGTCTACCTGAAGCAATAAAAATCTGTTGGATATTTACAAGTATACTGTAAATTTTGTTTCTAATTCAGCATGCAAATTTAGTTCATGGGTATCTTCTCGGGGTTCAAAATCCACTATTTCTTCTTGCTTTGATCCACGACTCCACACACCAGATGTTTGTTGAAGATGGTTCAAGATCGTCAATTAACTATCCTTGGCTTCATGTTGAAACAGTTACGTTATGTTGTCCATAACTCTAGACACGATGTTTGTTGAAGATGGTTCAAGATCTTCAAATAACTATCCTCATTTGCAACGACAATGGCTTCATGTTGGAACAATGATACGCTTTTTTGGCCACTGCTAAAATTATAGACATCGGGGGTGAAAAACATGTCAAACACATATCACGAAAACGGACTCCAACAAGTACACCATATCACCCTGACACCTTGTCTAATAAAAATGGTTGAATATCAGTGTAAAGCGTTATCCATTCTTTTTCTCTGCTTCAGGAAGGTAAGTTTGCTGGTATTTTCTTTAACGATGCATCCGTAAGACCATAACCGTTATCTATACTATAACATCACATTTACTTTAATTCCCTTTCATTAGACAAATTAGGCTTGATACATGCCATCTCTTCAATGTAGATTGACAACAAAAACCATAGCGACTGAAATTGTATATATACGTAAGTAAAAGGACTAAAACTATAAATTAAGGCGGTTTAAAATATTCCCAAGGTTTTAATAGTGTACCAGATAAAACACATATCCCAAGGGGATCAATCGCCGTCACCGGAACCCCAGCTCAGCCATGCCGATGTTCAAAACTCCGTTCAACGGCTACTCCGTCAAATTTAGCCCTTTCTACGAGCAACGTCTCGCCGTCGCCACCTCTCAGAACTTCGGTATCCTTGGTAATGGACGGATTCACGTTATCGACCTTTCTCCAGCCGGACCTATCGCCGAAATCGCCGCCTACGATACCGCTGATGGTGTCTATGACGTTTCGTGGTCTGAATCTCATGATTCTCTCCTAATCGCTGCCGTCGCTGATGGTTCTGTGAAGCTATACGATCTCTCTCTCCCACCTACTTCCAATCCAGTTCGATCCCTCGCCGAACACACCCGCGAAACGCACTCAGTTGACTACAACGCCGTCCGGCGAGACTCGTTTTTATCATCCTCATGGGATGATACCATCAAGCTCTGGACGATCGATAGACCTACATCCGTTCGTACGTTTAAAGAACACGCTTATTGTGTGTACTCCGCCGCGTGGAATCCTCGTCACGCTGATGTTTTCGCGTCGGCTTCCGGCGATTGCACTGCCCGGATATGGGATGTGCGTGAGCCGGGATCGACCATGATACTCCCAGCTCACGAGTTTGAAATATTGTCGTGTGATTGGAGTAAGTATGATGATGCAGTGATTGCTACTTCATCTGTTGATAAATCGATTAAGGTTTGGGATGTGAGGAATTACAGAATTCCTGTTGCGGTATTGAATGGCCATGGATATGCAGTTAGAAAAGTGAAGTTTTCACCGCATAGAGCAAGTTTGATTGCTTCCTGTTCATATGATATGACTGTTTGTTTATGGGATTATATGGTGGAGGATTCGTTAATTGGGCGTTATGATCATCATACAGAGTTTGCTGTAGGGGTGGATATGAGTGTGCTTGTTGAAGGATTGTTGGCCAGTACCGGATGGGATGAACTTGTTTATGTTTGGCAACATGGGACAGATCCAAGAGCGCCTTAATATCGAAGGGGGTGATCTTTGATCTCTTACTCTTTTTTTTGTTTTTGTTTTTGTTTCAGTTACTGTGATTTATGTTAGAATTCAAGGGTTTCTTGTTAATTTAAGTGAAAATGATGATTAGCATGATTCTATACTTGTTTTTGTGGAATACATTGGCTGTTGTCTGTCGTTGAATGATCAATGATATGCATCAGATGTTAAAAAAGTTGATCTTGTTGATAAATTTGGAGACTCTTTATCATATGTTCATATAAATAAGTCTTGGGCACACTTTCGGTTGCTTGTGATTTCATCTCGATAGAAGATTTTATATTTTATTGCTTCTTTTCAAGAAAGGCCAGTGTGACTCACTATTTGAATTGACTGCCTAATGTAGATTATGTTTGTAGTTTGCTTTTATAGTTGATTCATGATTGTTCATCTTGTAACTATGATGTGTGTTGTTGAATGATCAATGATATGCATTAGATGTTCAAAAGGGTTGATCTTGTTGAGAAATTTGGAGACCCTTTATCATACATTCATACATACTGTAATTGCATATTTTTGGATGCTTGTGATGTCATTTCCATTGAAGATTTTATATCTTATAGCTTCTTTTGAAGAAAAGGGAGCGTGATTAACCATTTGAATTGAATGCTAATGTAGATTACATTTTGTTGTTTGCTTTTATAGTTGATTGTTCATTTTATAACTATGATGCTTGCTGGTTTTTCGGAAATGTCTTTTCAAGTAACATTTTTGTTTTTGACTCTTGATAGCGAATCTGGTGCAGCTTCTTGTCTTTCTTATGATGGTATCTGAATATTTTAGGATACCTCTTGGTAGCTATTAGTGTAGTATTTTTTGTTTTCCATAAGGTAGTTTATGGAATTGTAGAAAGTGGAACTTGAAATACATAGCTAGTTTTGGTTTTCACATGAGATTAACCAGAAGAGATATTGTGCCAGTGGACTTTGAGAGACGAGAAAAGAAAAAAAACACCGTGTGAATTTTATAGTGATAAAGGCATGACGTGTTTCGAAGGTGCCGCCACGCTATTTAGGATGGTGTAGCAGGGTGAAATGGCACACACCATTTAGAGAAGGTGCAAAGATGTGGCTAACCTTGCATGATGCAATGACACAACTTTAACATTTGGGTCTATCTTAACGGAACTAAAAGTTAAGCCTTTCAGTTTATTTTATTGAGCTGAGAAGTCGATCAATTCCTTTTTGTTCGACCAAAACCAAAAAATACCAAACTAACCCAGTAAACACAAAGCATAGGTGGGTGGGGGGTAGGATGTATGCACACCTTTCTTCCATCCCAAATGGTAGAGAGGTTGTTTCTGTCAAGACCCATGTTTTGCCAAGCAAAAATTAAAAGAAACATGCAAGCATGCTACAAGTAAGTGTGCAAAGAAGCGAAGAGTACAATAGATAGAAAAAGTACCGGGGACATGAAATAGTCAACAAACCACAAAGCACAATACTGACAACTAACAATAAATGAAGAAAAACTAAACTAGTGGACGTCAAACTCAAACAAGTCATACAAGTAGGTACATATGGAAATAGATACATTATCTTGATCTCTTCAAACTTTTAATTTGCAGCAAGTATTATAACATCATTGTCCTCCCATCAAATAAGTATCTTTTTTTTGGTAACCATGGATATCCGGGCCAGCTTGTGCGCACCTTTACTAATCCCATAGGGCCTTGAGTGACACTTGGTGACATTTTGCTTTATTTCTTGGGCAAATTGCATGAATATATAATGTACTCATGTCTAATTCTTATTTTGTGTAACAAAAACTTTAAAACATTCATTTTGGTACCTTAGATGTGATATCTCATACATTTAGACCTAAATACGTTGCATTTTCATGCATTCTTAGATGTATACTAGTTACATAAGTACGTTTGCGACCAAGTACTTGCTAAGTCTTGGCTTAGTAAGTACGTTTCGAAAAAGGAATTGGGACCAAGTACGTTGCGCTTTCATGTGATTTGCCCTATTTGCTTCAACATTAAACAAGTGAAACTATAACTTTTGCGACATATTTGATGGTCTCTTCTATTTATCAACCATAATTCATTTGCTTGTTTGATCAATGCAAAAGTCTTGGCTTTTCTTTTCATCAACTTGCTTCTTCTTCTTGTGTGGTTTTTAGCATTAACGTACTTGCTAAACATTTTCTGATCTGATTACGGTGACTTTGGTATAGGTTTATTCCAATCTATTTCTACAGTTCTTTATGATCAATTGCTGTTTGTTGTGTTCTTTTTTCTGTTTCAGAAAATGGTGCACAGTTGCACCAAATCTCATCTTGGTACAATGTTTTAAGTTCGAATACATAGTTTTATTCAGTTCTTTCGCTTGTATATCATGGTAGACGTTGACGAAGGTCAATTTAGATAAAAAGAATAGAAACCCTTGTTTACCATTTGTATAATGAGTGTAAAAAATGAAAATGTGTTTGATGATATTTGAGTTCTAACAGTTGTAGAGCTATGGGTTGGGATCTACCGGTAACAGGAATGCTGTTGAGCCATTGACCCTTTAACAGTTTGTCCCAACTTTGAATGCCATTGCAGGGGCGTCGTATTAGCGATGTTGATATTTATAATTTGAGGAACACATCAAGAATTCTGCAAAAACAGGTTTTGCAATCTCTCTTTTAAGTTCTTTAGATGCTGGAACACATCAAGAAATCTGCAAATCAAGTTTTATTAGGTTCTTTATGTGTAACACCTTCACAGAAATAACTGCTCCGTTCTTTTAAGGCAGATGATAGGTCTGCTTACGTTTTACCTCTAGACCCTGCTTTCCAATGAAATATACTGAGTTTGTTTGGTTTGATTTAGACGCATAAACACAACTCAATGCTGATTCTCACAGCCTGCGAAAAGAGTTGCCTACAATGATAAAGATTGATGCTTGGGACTCCTCAACCAAGTATCCATTTCGGACTCGATCTAGAAAAAGAAGTTGCTTAAAACAAATGATCTTATCCGACTTATGAGTGAAAAATTATGATCTCATATACGAGTTTTTATTACACAAGTCTTTACTTAACAGACAGAAGCCAAGAGTTGTGAACTCAAAATACAAAAGTATGACTTTAGAAAGACGTTACTACATGCATACATAGACCAAAAAACTCGTTAACTTCTCGATGCGTGAAGTTATGATTGAAATCCTTAATCGCTTATGGGTTCGTTTAGACAATGAAGACATAATTTTAGGTTATGTTTTAGGAAAGATCCGATGTAGTTTTATATGGATACTGCCACGATACTGTAGGGGAGGTCCTGTGGAAAAATAGCTTGTCACCAGGATGTGCATCTGAACTCGAGTATCCAGGAAAAAGCAGAATATTTGATGGAAGAACGAGGATCCTTTTGAACAACCTGTTATAATATAGTTTTATATTTATTTATTTTTCCATTCAATTTTGTTTTCAATTTTCATTTTATATCCTTATTTTGTATATAATTAAAACATAAAATGATAACTATATTATATAATGAAAATTTTAAAGTAAAAACATCGATTTGATTGTGGGGAATCTTAGGGGTTGTTTGTTTATCTCTTAATAGTTTCATTAAGAGGCAACTTCTGAATCGTTAAGAGGTGAATCTTGTTTGGCAAAAAAAAAGTCTGACTCTTAATGAGTTTGATTTTATATCTTGGGGTTCCCTTAACCATTCAACGTCCTAATTTCATTATAAGCAATTATCAACCAATTATATTTCATTTTGCACTATATAATGACTAATGAGAGCTTCTTAATCATTCTGACTACTTGATCATTCTGCACCAAACCATTCAGTAACTGTCAAATAATCCCTTAGTCAAATCACGTTTATATGAACTTATGAAGTACCGCTTCGACCATCACCACCGCTACCGTAATCACTTGTAAAAGTAGCAGTAACAAGGGAATATCCAGACTCTACTATTGAAAATGTTTAACATGTATAATCAACATAACCGTTTTAATTATAATTCCAAAATTTGTAATATTAGAATAAATACAGTCAACACGACAGAACTATATATGATCATTGAATTTATAACTTTGATATGCCTTATTTTTATTTACTCTCTAAATTTAATGCATCAAAAATGAATTTTGTGGGTAAACACTTACCCGAGTAAGTGTTTGGTGAATGACCCCTTAAAATAGCGTTTGGTATGTAGACATGATTGAACATAACATAACTGGACATGACAAGAGGGTAGGACATGAGAGGACTGAATAGTATAAATGTATGTCTGGTGTTTGATACGACTAGGGCTGAACATGATAGAACTAGACAAGTGCCTCTAATAGTTATTTGATCATTTTATATATTATATAATAATTATAATTAATACACATAAAGTAAATAATTAAATAATTTAATTTATATACATTTTTATACAGTTTTCATATACATAAATACATACATATATAATAACACCAAATTTGAATCAAAATTTTGATATAATTGATGGTAGTTTGAAAGAAAAAAAAATGATTCGTGCAAAGAAGAAACTATGTTTTATTCGGTTTGGAAAAACTTTATCAATTGACGAAGGCACGATGAAGATTGTTGCAATAACAATAATTGTGGAGGTAGAGACATTGGCAATTGATGGACGATGGTGGTTGTAGAGGACTTGAAGATGGTAGATAATGATGGTGGTGATAGTCGACAATGATGGATGAGGTAGTTGTAGTTGATGCGGTGGAGGTAATTGTGATGGTGGTTGCCGATGGTGGTGGTGGTGGTTATAGTAGAGGTGAAGGTGGTGTTGGTTATGGTGGAGGTGGAGGTAGTGATGGTCGACGATACTAGTAGTGATGGAGGTGAATGGTGGTGGTCGGTGGCCGACGGTAGTTATGGAGGACGCGAATATGGTAAATAGTGGTAGTGGTAGCAGGTGGTAGTGGGTAGTGGTAGTGATAGCCGATGATGGTGGTTATGGTGGAGGTGAGGTGGCTCATGGTAGTAAAGATAGTGGCGATAAATGGTGGTGGTCAGTGGGCGATGGTGGTTGTGGAGGTGGTGGAGGAGGTTGTAGTAGAGGAGAAGGTGAAGGTGGTCAACAATAGTAGTGGTGGTGGCGATGAATGGTGGTGGTTGGTGGCCGACACTAGTTGTTGAGGTGGCGATGGATGGTGCTTGTTGTAGTGGAGGCAAGAGGTGGAGGTGGCCAACGACTAGATGTGGTGACCACTAAAACAAATATAATATTAAAGTTATATACGAAGATTAATTAGTAATATTTTAGTTTCTGTTTCATTCTTGTCTCATCTTGTTCCATCTATCTTGGTGGAATTAGAAAAAAAACTTTTTTTTTATCCCGCGTTGTCCCATTTATTGTTTTTGTCATTTGTTGCACCAAACGTGGGAAAGTGAGTTCTTGTCATGTCTTATGTTGTGCCAAACACAGGACAGTGAATTTTGTCTCTTCCTATCATGTCTTGTTCGATGTACCAAACGTCGCCTAAGAGTTTAATAAGTAACATTTAAATTAATTTGAAGTTTGATAATACGGTATATATTCATCTAGTCTAGGATTTATTTTTGACGTTCAACTGATTTCATTTCACTGGTTTTCTGCTCGTGCTAAGAGATTCAACTATTCTTGGGTGAATCGTCGTTGCAATTTGGTGGTTAGTTGGGTCATTGTGACTTGTTGTCGGTTCATTTTTTGTAGCCCGTGGTCTTGTTTAGTCTTTTATTTATCGTCATTTTCCGCTTATTCGTTTAGTTTTTGTTTGTTTCTTATTTTGCTTCTGACAGTAACAATCGACCTTGTATTCCTCTCAATTTTAATATATTTGTTATATTTCAAAAGCAAACGAATTAAGTGCGAGATATAAAATATAAGGTTTTAATTTAAAATAAGTAACGAAATAGACCAAAGGGTGTACATTTAGTAAAAATGGAAACCGTAAATAAATTCAAGAGTAAACTAGAAATTTGGTCCCTACGGTTTGTTAAAAATAACACTTTTCTTTATGTAATTCCAAAAATATAAGATGGTCATTATAATTTGTAAAAACGTTTAGATTTGGTCCTTTTTTAACAGCCATTAAAAAAATTCCGTTAAAAGAGAGGTAATTTCGTTTTTATTTACTTTTTATCTTTTACCTAATCAAAAAGCACAAAAACAAACCCGTAAAGTGATTATGCTTTTGTAAAAGACAAAAAAATCAATAAAATGACAAAATACCCGTCATTTAACGGATTTTTTTAACAATAGTTAGAGGAAGTGACTCAATCTGAAAGTTCTTACAAACCGTGCAAAAACTACAGCGACCAAGAGTGTTATTTTCGACAAACCATAAGAACTAAATTTGGAGTTTACTCTAAATTAAAAGGTTTTTTATTTATTTATTTATTTATTTATTATTTTTTAATGAATTTTTATTATAAATAAGTCTACCTAATATACCCCCACTCGTTAAGTACCCATCCAATCTCGGTCTTTTAATCTATATTTAATTTATTGCATTAATTTTTATTAATAAATACTTTTCGTATACGTCATAAATAATTTTTTTTATTAATCTGGATATCCAATCAGCTATGCAAGCCGACTAATCCCAATGCGACCACCTGCTTTGCAGATAGCCCGGAGTCACCGCATTTGAACCTCCGTGGCCACAAGAAGATTTTTATTCCTCCTTGGATTTGAACCTGAGACCTCCTAGTACTTTTGACCTTTGGAGCCAAGCTCAAACCAATCAGACACCACCCTTGCGGTTTATTGCTTTCTTTTGCGGTATATATAAATTATATGCAACTACGAATGATTAAAATAGCTTTTATTAAATTTATAAATATTGTTTAATGATTAAAATGTAAATAATTCATATTTTGGAGACAATTTGGTAATAAAGACGAGGGCAAAAATGTGATTTCACCTGCATTCAACGGTGCTACTTCATCTAAGATCATATTTCTAAAAATACATCTATATATAGTTTCGATCATCTTACTAAATGACGTTTATTTTTGTCACAGGAAGTCGAAACATTTATCAGTTGGAACTAGAATCAGGTGTCGTTTACCAAATGCTTACCCGGTTAAGTGCTTATCAAGTCACTTTACTTTATCGGATGAATATGACAATGACTAAAAATTTTACCCGGTAAGAGCGAAGGCAAGAATCGAGAGTTTTACCCGATAAGTGAGCACGAGAACTCTTACCATGGTTAGCGCTTACCGGGATAAATTGTTGCATACGATGGGTTTTAGTGAATAAAATCTCACCGATAAGTAAGCGATAGTGTTGAATTTTACCGGTAAGTGCTTACCGGGTAAGTATTTAGGTAAACGGCCCCTCAGTAAAAATTATCACTGAACAGATATAAAAGTTTTTATATCCTTAATTTACTCACAAACATATCAGATTTTCAGAATCTTGAAAAATGAAAGAAGAATCCACGTTTATGCATCACTTGTAGCCTCGGAAATGCTCTCTAAACGAGGTCTCCACATCACAACATGATTACTCTTTTCACTAGACATTTTCTTCGAAGAAGTTGAAGATGATGATGATGATGATCTGGAACCGGTCTTTCTGGGCATGGACTGATCAGGCATAGAGGCAGGGACAAGAAAGTAAATCTTGCCACGTTGAAGCTTGACGTCGGGCGAAAGGATCATGATCTTCGGGCATTTGGTTACACCTTTATCGGTATATGATGAAGGGGATGAGGGTTTCTTGAGGATGTGTTTAGGGTTTGCTTTCATGATCTCGGATGCTTGAATAGTGCCGGCTATTTCCTCGACATGGCCATTGGCATGCACGATGCGGATCACATCGAGTGATCCGCATGGAAGAATGCAAGAGATGCAACATCTTATTGCGTTCTTCATGTCTTATCTTTCTATCAATGGTTGCTATGTATATGAAGACGAAAGGTATGGATGAGAAGGGGAAAGAGAAGTCTCTTTAGTTTTGGCAATGGACATAGATTGAACCTTCACCAAATGGTGTGCATATATATATATATGCATGCATGCATGCATGCATGCATACATACATACATATATGTATATATGAAAAATGAAATAAAAACCACAAAAGGGTTGACAACCATAATAACAAATCCCAATCATTTCACGAGTTCCATTTAAAGCCATTGTTGATGCGTGTCTTGTTTCATACATAAAATACATCGACATGTTTTATTTCACATATGAAATAATTATGTCTTCTTCTGTTCTTTATATATAAAAATTATACATGTTTGTACGTTTCACATGTGAAATGATATACGTAAAAAAACTGGGGCCGACTTTTGACATTTTGGGAGCCCTGTGCTAGAAACTAAATTGGCCCTGTAATTTTTCTCAATTATGATATTTATTTAATTTTTATTACTAAATTAAAAAATAAACTCTTAAAATTTAGAGTATATGTGGAAGTATAATATAATTATAAACAAGATTCAAACAAAAATCAAACTGTGATTGCTCATAAATCTCTTATTTTTAACCTATTCTATCTTTTATTTGACGTTTAAGGTATCCCGATTCAAATTATCCTGTTGAACACATCTACAAGAATATCATACTGATTTATCGTTATCAGAAGAATACTAAGACTAAAAATTTAAAAAAATTCCAAAAAAGATATAAAAGTAATCAACAATGATCAAAAGAATTTTCCTTTTCTAAATTTCATTAAATAATCAAATAAAGTTAAAAAAAATATTAAAAAAAATAAAAAAGTAAAGGAAAACATTAGATAATTAGCAAATAATTATTATATGAATTAAGTTATCTTAAAAAAACTTAACTTATTGATAAAAATAAAAAAATGTAAATCCAAGGAGGTTTCCAGAGAATTGCATGCACTTTACCAACTAAATAAATGCTAATTTATGCAACTAAATGGATTTTCTCCTTTGTATTATAGGTATAATATATACATATATAAGACGGTTGTTTTGAGAAGTACAAAACCGATCCTAGCATTTTATACGGTTAAAATCGAATTTGACTGGTCAAGAATTGTGATTTTGACTAGTCAAAATTTGTCGTTACCTGTGTGATGTGTGATGTTGGTGATTTTAGTGTCATCAAGCCATTTTGTATGATCGAGATTAATTTGAGACAAGCCGAAATTAGATTCAGCTATAATTCGAGTCCTGAGGTGCAAAGTGCATGGGAGGATAAGTTAAAGTGATCTCGGGTACATGGGGGTTCGGGGCAGCACCCCTGGAGGGGTTCTAAGGGGCATTGCCCCTGGTGGGTTCCAAGGGGCAGAGCCCCTAGCGGTGATCCCTTGCAGGGTGCGGGGCAGTGCCCGACCCGAAATATAAACCATATTGTGAGAAATGGATCCTAATTCTCGAACAGTCGTGTCTGTTGGGAACAAACACGAAACCCACCAAAATAACCAACTTAATCGCGATGACTATACATACGATTTCGATTCATTGCAGGGTGACGATCTTTTGCATATTGTTACTATGCCAAAATTTTGTCTCTTAAGGTACATAAACAAGCAACAAAATTCTGTGTTTGATCTTGGATTTTGCCTGAAATCCAGATCGTTGTTTTTGGATTATCCCAAATATGATTTCGTGATACCCCAGGCTAGGGTCGAAATCACAGATTTTGGAAAGTGTTTAATACACGATCCTTGATTACCCAAGTATATTGATATTCTGTTTTCAAAATTCAAACATGATCACATGTGAATTAACTGATTCATATATGAACGTTTGTGACTCATGGTTCATATGCGAATAAGTAAAACAGTTCATATGTGAACTAATTAACGGGTTCATTGCCGTCTATTTGTAAAAAAGTTATGGAACTATCCCTCTATTTTTCGCGTACCCATATATATGAGAAATTATCCGGTGTTTCAAAATCAAAATCGCAAATGTTGACCAAATGAAGGGATAAGATCACTCACTCAGGACTGCCCTTGCAAAAAATTGTTTTCTCACGGTTCTCAACATTTCTCTAGTTTACATTTTTATTTGCGTTGTATATGTAAGCTGCAAAATCAAATAAGAAACTCAACAATATTATAGCCATGAAAACCGATGAAACATGTGTAGATTTACATACATAAAAACAGTACAACTTCTGTAGTTTCGAAACAATATTTCCACATTGTACCATTGACTTATATGAAAGCTATTGAATGGTTAAGATGTTATATATATATATATATATATATATATATATATATGTATGTATGTATGTATGTATGTATGTATGTATGTATGTATGTATGTATGTATAATATATATATATGTGTGTGTCATGAATTTGTTATGAACTTGAGAACTAGTACATCATATATCATTTTTTATGATTTTTCCATGTAAGACTAGGATTTAGGGCATGGGCGGACCTATCGTGTTGGTTATAGTGGCATGTGCCACCGTATTATTCCTCCGTCGAAGGGTAAAAAAAAATAGTTCGTGAAAGGTGCAACCGTATTAATCTGTTGTGTGTCACCGTATGTATTTTGAAACTACGATGATAACAAGTTTTATTTGGTAGAGTTGGTTTGCAAGACTTTTATTCTACTCAAGACCCAAATTCAAATCTTGTTAGTGTCATTTTCTTAGTCAAATAGTGCCACCAATTGAATTTTTTTTTACGTATATTTGTTTCTTATAGTCAACCGGTGCCACTGTTTGAAATTTTTTCGCTATAGTTTTTTCTTATAGTCAAACAGTGCCATCTTTTAAAAAAAATTCTGGGTCCGTCCTTGATTTAGGGTATTTATTAACATATATATTTGTTTTATAACGTGTTCATTTATATGTATTTGTTTGACAATGTGAACTTTTTAAGTTTGTTTATGAAACAAAAGTTACATGTAAAAAAACTTCATAGTATGAATCAAATACATAAATGAAACAAATATATGTTTATCAATACATTAAGTATCAATCTTAAATGAGAAAAAATAACGTGAAATAATAATTTAAAAATAAAAGTTGTCACGGTTTTTACAATAAGAGTTGTTATTTTGATTACCCATATAATAGAATACAACAATTCACAAAAGAAAGTGAGTATATTAATGATTATTGACGAATTCTTTTGTTAACAATAAATACTCGTAATAACACAAAAAAAAAAAAAAAAGGATTTATGCAAGCAACGCATTTAATGAAATATAAATGTGTTGTAATTTTATATTAATTTCATTTTGTCTCTTATGGACTAAAATTCTTTAGTCAGTAATTTAAAAGTGTTACGATGCTCAAGCAACCGATTATTATATAGAGAGAGGGTTGGATTATTATATAATCTTTTATATTTGTACAATCAATATAACTTAATCTCAATCGTCCATTTAATTTGATGAATATATAATTTTATATAAATTTTAATTATTTTCTAATATAAAGTATTGATCATAATTAATGAACTTTATTCATCTTCTATAAATATTTAAATCATAATAAATTAACTTTCATCATTTTCATAAATATTTGAGTTTATTAGGTTGTACAAATGTGATGGGTTGCATTTGAAACAAACTCTCTCTCTCTCTCTCTCTCTCTATATATATATATATATATATAGAGAGAGAGAGAGAGAGAGAGAGGAACGATCAAATACAAACCATCCAATTTACAAACCGTGCAAACCGTTCTCATCCGTCGATTTCATTGTTTAATCTTATGAAAATTTTTCATTAAATTGTTTAATCTTGTGAAATTGTTTCACATAATATTTTTTTTGATGAAGTTGTTTCATATATGGTTATGAAACTGTTTCATATAATACTTAATGAAATTTTAATGAAATATTTTTTTAAAATTAAAATAATAAAGATGATAATATCCATGATTAACATATTTCACAATAAAAACGATTAATCAACCTTTCATAATTACAAAAAAAATGAACAAAATGAAAAATTATGATTGGTTGAATGAGGTTTGTATGATTTGTACAAATAATGTGGTTTGTAAAGTAAACCTCCTCTCTCTCTCTCTCTCTCTATATATATATATATATATATATATATATATATATATATATATATAGCGTCTTGCTGTGAAGTTTGAAATGTAAAAATGTTATCTCACGTGTCTCTTGAAAACAAGTTTTTCTTACGTGAACCCAACCCTAAATTATAACGTTAAATCAAATAATTATATATGTTAAGTTGTTAACAAATGGAAGAGAATAGTATTCTTAAGAGTAATTTTCTTTTCATCCCATTTAGATTCTTTTAAAAGTTGAACGTTTTTATGAAATAAGTACTACATCCTAAAGATAAAAATTACATTGGCATACATCCAATCATAAGGATGGTGCCTGATCAGTTTGAGCTTGACTCCAAAGGTCAAAAGTACCAGGAGATCCCAGGTTCAAATCCAAGGAGGAATAAAAATCCCCTTATGACCACGGATGTTCAAATGCGGTGACCCCAGACCATCTGCAAAGCATGTGATCGTCTTGGAGTTAGTCAGCTCGCATAACGAGTTTGATATCCAGGTTAAAAAACAAAAAAAATCTACATACATCCTATAAATTTTAGACCTCATTTTTAAATAAAATATAAGTACTAAATAAGTTTGATTTGATTTAGTTTATCCATTATTTCCTTCCCCTTTTTCTCCTTAGTTGGTTCAATAATTCTTTGGTTTAGGTAGGAATTGCTTTATGTGTAAATCATGCAACTCTTTGCTATGTAGGCTAAAGTGGGACCCTCTTAGAGAAAAGGAATTGGATTGTGACAAGTGGATAAATAAAGAGGTGACAAGTGTTAGGTACTTGTTGAATCACAATAATAGAGCCATGTGAGAGTAGGTAAACAAGCCATTTAGTGTTGGGTACCTTTTGTTTTTTTTGGATCAATTATGTTTTATAAGGTTTGAGTTTATCTTGATAACGAACGATAGTGTGAAAGATAGGCTGAATCGTATGGGTTTGATGCA